ATACTTTTCTGCTGGATGGTTAAGACCAAGATAAAGCAAGACCTATATAACAAGAAATGTAACTTTTGTATCTGATAAAGTCAGTCAAATCCCCTCAAGATTTATCCTGAAACTTTGTACCACAGTTTGTAGATCCTTTGTCATTGTCAGCCATGTGGATGAGTCATGGTTATTGCTTGACCAATTTGCTCACTGTGAAAGCCTGAGAGAATATTTTCTCTCCACGTGACTCTCCTTAGGCACACTCTACATCATCTATCACTTTCCTCTGTGGCCCCATAATCTCCTTGATCAGAACTTTGGGACACAACTGAGTTACATAATGTTACAGTACGGGTTCTCATATGTCCTCAGTGTTCACTGACCTTGAAAGGCTAGGGCCAAAATCTTGGCTGTCCTTGCAGCCCTTCTTTTTCTCTAATTTTTGTTCTGCAAACTGAGGTTGTTAACTTTCCAGAAGAGAAGCTTATTATTATTACCCTACAACACAGGCAGTTTAGCTTAACCTCACTATCTGAATATCAAACATCTTAGGCATAACATGGAACAGGTATTTTCCATCAAATATTGATATGTTAAACTTTAAGTCCCTATAGAATATGAAGAAAAAAATTTAAAAAATAAAAATATTTTAAAAATAGGAATAGTTATATATTTTTACACAGAAATTTAGAAATCTGACCATATACAACATTGTAGCAGGACAGTCCTGTGACTTTTTTTTTTTTGCCTGTCTCTTGTTTTCATTTATTTACCCTTTTTTTTTTTTAAACAAACATTTACTTGAGAGACAGTATGGCAGTAATTGGCATGTCATGACAAGCAGTATGTATTTAGAAGACCAGAATGACTTGAGCATTAGACAATGAAGAGAGGGCAAGGAAAAAAACTAGGAAACATGACAGGGGCAAAGCCATACATTTATATGCACGAGATAGGTAAGGCAATGATCTTGAGAATCTTCAGCATGTTTTTGAAACTAGCAGTTAATTGGTAAGATTCTTACCCTGACTAACTATATATGCTGATACCTGTGAACTAAGCAACTGCACTGAAGATAGTGATGTGTAATAGTAGGGTCATGTTTGGAATGCCTGTCATTCTGGTCTTTTGAGGTTAATTCGATGTAATTTCTTTCTCAGAAGAGAATGAATTGAAAGGACAAATTGGCCTTGACCTTGTTTTTTATTGCTTTAGAAAATTAACAATTTATGGAAAATAATTTAAAAGAATGAATAAACAATTTTTGAAGGATATATCCATAGCTTTTTTTAAAAAAATTATGTATTTGGTTAAGGGTCTCACTCACCAGCCCTATCCATAGCTTTTTATAAGGCAAAAAGACTAGAAAACAAATGTAAATGGGTTAGATTTCTATTCAAACATACCCTACATGTCAAATTGAACACTTCATGTCCTAGTGTTTAAGCAGATTCATGTTAGACCTGACTGAACCAACTGCCTTTTCGTTTGTTTTTTTTTTTTTAATTTTAGGGAAGGGTCTACAGGGTGTTCAGGGTCTCACTATTAGATCCAACTCATAGTGATCTGCCTGTTTACAGCTTCCCAAGAGCTGGGATTACAGGCACATGCCACTACGCCCAGTCTCAATTGCTGTCTCAGCATGCCCCGGGGGGCAGGGCAGTCATGGCAGGCCCAGGGATCGGGCTCCCGGCCCCTTTGTCTGCTTGCAGGTGCTTCAATCCACTGAGCTATTTGGTGGCCCAGAACCAACTCTTTAAGAAAATTTTGCACTAAAAATTTTAAGAACAACATGAAAGAAAATAGGGAATCAGTAGCTTCTAGATTTGTCTCTAGTTACAGATTTACAGAATGCCAGTGCCCTCCAATTGGAAGCCAAGATGAATCAAGGGAAAAGCTTCTGATATCCTTCAGTTAAGAGTAAATATGGAACACTTAACCAATTGTGGGGTGAGTGACACAGTTGTGGGGTGAGTTTTGCATATGTCTTGTATTACTGATGGTATGTTTTGGTAAGTATATTTATTATATATTTTCCTTCTATATAAATTCCTTCTGTAATTTTGCTGAAGCCTAG